AGTTGGCTCAAAATAATAAAATTGAAATATTCAAAAGAAGAAAAAATTAACCATTCCGTAAGCAAATCGAATTTATAAGCAATAAAAATTTATTCGCAAAATAAAGATTTTTCAGTTTTCAATTTTATTATTGAAGCAAATTTTTCATTTAATTTTAATTTCACGAATTGCATTTAAAGAAAATTTAATTAACTGTTGCTTGCTTAAGCATATTTTTTTCAAATTTTCAACGATTTTTTTCCATTAAAATTGAAATTTTAAAATTTAATCTGAAAACTTTTATTTGTGCGTTAAGTCTAAAAATTTGAAATTTCGTTATATCTAAGTTAAAACTACTAAAATTCTAAGAAAAAATATCACTAGAAAACATGAAAAAAAGAAAAAGTTCACTTTTTTATGCAATAATCTTCGACTTGGTTTTATGATTTCAGCCAAATTATTCACAACAAATCATAATTCTTTTTTTTCATAAATTTCTTTAAAAATTGGAAATATTAATATTTTATATCAGAAATCTTTTTTTTTTTGCTCACTATTTGTGGTTGCGCTCGCCTCATTGGCTTGTTGGACCAGAAGAATTTTACATGGGAATCACTTGACGATAGAAATGCAGATAAATCGCTAGCATCATCCAGATTTCTGAGATATAGGCTTACTTCCACCGAGAATAAAATCTCAGCTTTGATGCTTTGAAATAATTGCAACAACCTATTGGATCATCCTGCCCTTATTAAGAAATTAAAGATCCCACTGCCCATCACTGGGAATATATCTCGCCATATGTTAAGATAGTTATCAGGATAAGAAACCAAGAAAAACCAACATATAAAGTGATACAGGCAGGAGATATTTTTAACATATAAGCTTTGGCGGTGGAACTAGCTTCTTTTATGATACCCGAAATGCTTGGAAATGCTTCTGCAGCTACTGAACCCAACTTAACCACTGATTTAAACTTTTAACGGAATAATACAAAATAGAAGACCAAGCAACAATTGTTCAATCAATCGAAATCAAAAATTTTTACATCTTAAGCGATTATTCATTAATCAAATATCATCATCATAAGGAGCTCTTGTAAAAAAAAATTTATTAAATTTTATTTTACCAGCTAAAACTATAAAAAAATTATCAATCGTAATGTCGAAGAGAAATAATAAATAAATTTTCATTGGCAATTTTCAAACCATTAACTAATTTTAAAATGATGATCATTTTAAAATAGTCATGAAATAATCATCTAATTTAATGGTTTGAAATAATCATCTAATTTACGAAAATATTTTCTTTTTTTCATCAAATTCGGATTTTCATTCGCTGATTTATCATCAAATGCTGTGAGTCGACTTTTAATTTATTCCTATCCAATTTTTTTTTTTATTCAAATAACCAAATAAGCGAAATGAAACTGATGACCCCACTTACTGTTTCTTATGTCAAAACAATTATCATTTATCTTAGAACGAAACTTTATCATAAAAATCAACATCATAGAAAAAAAAGAATAGTTGGAGAAAATATCCAATAAAGAATTATTTAAAGCGGTAAAGGAATTTAAGGGGCTAAAACACCAAGTTCACTGATTTTATTTTAAAAATTTCTAAATTCACAAATGAAGCTATTTTCCTATTCATCTTCTATGAAATACCAATTTCATTCATCCAATCTCATTAATACAACTCGAATAATCGAATAATAACTCGAATAATCATAGATATTTCTCTTAGATGAATTAACAAAATAATAAAATTCCGATTTTTCAAAAAACTCCATGTGATATTCATAATTGAAAGTAAATATGCATTTTTATAATGATAATGATATAATGATAAAAAGATTTAAATGTGTAAATGACATGTTACATATACATATAACCACATGTATAAATGTGGTTTTTTTTCCAGACTTTTATTACGACTTCGTTATTGAATTGCCTTTTCTCTTAAGAACCTCATGAATAATGAGCTCTAACCTTTAGTAATTTTAAAGCTATAAGCAATGGATCTAATGATAATAACTCAAAAATCTAAAAGAAATGTACTAAAAGATTTTCTATAAATATATGTAATAAGAAGTTTTATCCTCAAGTTTTATCAAAAGGCTTTACAATAAAGCGAACGATATGCTACAAAATTGAAATTTTAGTCAATATAACAACTTAAAGTGGTGTGCTCATATTACAGCGTACTACAGTGTGAATTACCACTTGCCACTTTCTTCTTAGTGGCCACTTCATTACTTTTATTCGTGATATTCAAACATGCAACCGAAATGTGTGATAGAATTATAGCTATTATTATGCAAAGGACTTAAGTGTACTTTCGATAAGCATCAATCAAAATGTAAATTAGATTAAAAAATCAAAATGTTGGTCAAAAAATAAAAATAACAAGTAATTACTTCATTAAATAAATAAACTTAAAATTCAAAAATTTAAAAAAGGAAGAAAATTTTAGAATGAAAAAATAAACCTACTATTAAAATTAAATATATTGGCTAAGCCAAAAATTCCGTTTACCTTTTAGAAGAATCATTAAGTTTATTAGATTTCGATTCAATGATTTCATTTGCATCCATTTCATCCAAATTTGCAATTTTCCACAAACCATCTGAATGAATAAAATTTTTGATGGAGTTATCATTATCTTTTGTAGAAGCAGAATCCAATGAATAGGCCGAAATGAAGAACGCATTACCTGAAATAAGTGGATTATAAAACCAGTAAGAGGAAAACCGAGTGTTTATTACTTAGAACATCGTCTTGAACGTCGAATCTCACCTCAGACGAATAAAATGTATTTAAAATAATAAAAATTCCGCCTAAATGGAAATTATGAGCGTTGTTTATAAAACCAATAAGGCAACTTGAATTTCAATATGAGATCTGCAATATGCCAGTTCGTTTCTTATGGATAAAAAGCAAAAGTAAAATATTTATTTTTATATTATTTATACTATTAGATAAAATAAAATTTTTTCATTCAGTTATTTCCTTCAATAAATTAAAGTTAATATGTAATCGATATATATTGAAGTGAAATTAAAATCAGTTGAGTTTATCCGCTGAAACAGAAAAAAGAGATTAATAAGAAAATATTAATATTATCAATTTAATATTAATATATTAATAAGAAAAAAGTATTATTACTACTATTATTTCCATAACTATTAAAGTATTATTATAAAATATTATTAATAGAAAAATATTCATCTATAGATTCATCTATATTCTAGAAGATAATTAAAAGATAAAATAAAAAGGAAATTGAAGAAAAAGTTAGCTTCTTTTAATATTACTGAATATTAAAAGAAATATCAGAAAAATTTTGATATTTTCTTTCAGCTTTTTCTTCATAGTTATTGATCCATTGGGGAGAGAATGGATTAGTGGGCTCAATTCGAAGTGCCAATGCTGAGGCTCTATTCCCCGGGAGTGAACTTGTTTAAAAACCCGGGTGATGATAACGACACACCTGCGACTCCTTGGCATTTGTCCAATGCGACAAGCCAGCGGAGCGAATTTAGCCAGTTATGATGAGGACTCTTAAAAAAATTAATCTGTTGACTTGGTAATAGATCCATTCGTTAGCTTATCTAGATATTTGATTTTTCTGATTAGCCATTAGATTTAATCTAATTAAAAGCTTGCTATTACTGTTATCGATACCCTATGTGATACTATGGTTTGCTTCATTTCCATCATTTTTATTCCATGTCTTAAGGCACTGAATAGAACTGAATAAGGTATAAATGTAATAAAAATAAGAAAAATATAAGAAATCGCGAGTCGTTTTAGCATGTTTTCGCCTTATCCTAAGTGATTAAAAAAATTTGCGAAAATATAATCAAAAACAGGATAGGAAAGCTCGCTTCTGTAAAAAAATTAGGGTTCTACGCATTGATATTAAATGACTTTAAAATGCTTTAATTTAGATCGGTTAATCATAGAGCAAAAAAAGTTGGGAAAATAAAAAATTGGAATCGAATTTGAATTTACAGTCGTAGAGGAAAATCAATTCATAAAAATTCAAAGGAGCATCATTCTTATATAATATACTAACCGATCATCATATGTAATTTAGTTATACCCGTTAAATACAACTCCCGCTAGTTGCCACTAACCAAGCAAGCGAGCTGAAAGAGCATATTTGTACATTACCCTACTATTAGACGGCCCTTGTATTGAAATCATATAACACAATGAAATAGCCCGGTTGATTATCTCTTACAAATAGCGCTTTTGCTTATGTATAGATTTATTTTTTTATAATTATATAAATAAATTTACAGTTTCTAATAGGCTCGAATAATGGTATTCAAATTAGTTAATGATCAGATAGTAATAAAATTATTAAGATAATCAGCCATAAAATCATCTTAAAAATAACAATTTCAATAATAATGCAAAATTTTCATTTTAAAGATAAATAATAAGCATGTTAATGCAAAATTATTTTTTGAAAAAAAGGAATCGATCAAACAACCAAAATATATTTTAATTTCCACTTAAAAATATATCCAGGATCATTCAATTCTTGTAAATGCAGTCTCGATGCAATCATTATGCAATCTGACTTCACCAAAGTGCAACCAATATGTACTTTTAGTTAGGCTCATTTTCTAACTGAATTATGCGATGATTAAAATGACAAGGAAAATAACCTAAAGAATACGAAGGGCATCAATATCGATAAAATAAATAAAATCAAGATAGAAAAGATTAACAAAGTGTATATCCACAAAGCAACTAAATTTGACCAATGTCGTCTCATTTCAGTTATCTTTAGAATATCTACAATTCGGTTTGAATAATTTAGGAATTTCTCAAATTGCGTAGAAATCGATCATATCAATTAGAAATATTTATCAATGAAAAATAAAAAAATATGCAATGAAATCAGTAGACCATTTTAGATGGATCAATGGACTTTGGTCATATAAAAAAATCCGCAAAAAACAAAGGCAAAAATTTAAATCTTCACCCACTGGAATAGAACAACTTACCAGTGATATAAAAATAACAAGGAAAGAAAATCATTCTTTGATGAATTTGATAATAATCGACGTTTGTTTTCCTTAAATATAAATATAAAACTTCGATTTAATTCACCTGATTTTGCAGATTTCCTTATAATTCCACTTCTAATATCATATTCTGAGATATTCGTGTTCGTTGAACAAACTGCAATCATTTCTCGATTTTCAAGTCGATTAATAGGACCGCTATTCGCATCCGTTTGCAGCGAGCGTATTGAAGAAGAATTTGATAAATTCTCTTGGGAAGAATGATACAACAAGGAAAGGCTGCTAAAGCAATGACGATCACGAAATTGCTGCCGATGTGCAATAAAAGGAAAAGAATGAGGAATGGAAGTAACTGAATGATGGATAGGACACCAGCTCACTGGTCCATGGAATATTCTAGCGTTGCCCGCATTAGAAATGCAACGCAATAGGTGTGATTTATTTGCTATGAAGGTTTCGTAACTTAAAGCAGAGCCGACGTTATTTCTCATTAAAATAGCTTCACTTGAACTATTGGTAGATCGCATCAAATCAGTTTTTAAATATGAAATATTACGATCATTTGTTGATTGAGATGATACATGTAATTGATTCTCATTATCCTCGTTATCCAAACAATAGAATGCTTTCTTCATTGCGGAATAGTTTTCATCAAATTTTGTAGAAATCGGATGCCGTGAATTTTTGATAAAATTAAGTGGAAATAAATCGTAGGGTCTTTGCCGAGGACAAAGTTCTTCGATATCGACAGATTTATATCTTGAAATATTTGCCAGTTTTTGCGCAAATTTTTGACATCCAGGAGACGAACATCTGAAAAAAATTATATGTTCGTGCTTTAAATTGAGAAATCTAAGCATTGTTTCTTTAAGAACCCATCAAATCAAGTTCACAATTTTTCACAATTCACAATTTTTTCAGCATTTTTTGACGCGTTTCAAAATTTTCATTCCTCTTTTAAGTAAAATTATGCTGAAATTGAATGAAAAGGAACCTATTATAATGATCTTGAATATCAGTATCGAAATCAAACAAAGATGATTTTAGATGAAATAAACCCTCTTGATAACTTCTGCTGCACTGTAACTTTTTCATCGATTTTTTGTATAAATGGTTATCAGCCGTCATCGTAAATAATAATTTATCATATTTTTCAAGTGATCTAAAAATGAGTCTTATAATATAACAATATACTTATTTCGCAAATGTTCGCATCAAAATAAAATATCCATTAAACATTTCTTCAATATTGGAAATAATATTATGTTTGAAATTCGTTCAAATTCCAGAACTCAATACCAAAATTCTTTTTCTTCTTCTAATGGCTCTCACTACTTGTTAGGCTGGCTCTACTACCTACAAGGGTAAGGGTAAGACTTTTCCAACCGGCGTGATGCCATCGTCGAAAGTAATAGAAACCATTCCTTTTTCCATCGTCTGTATACTATAGTCCATATATTGCTGGTTCACTCATACATCAAAAATCTTTTCTGACCGCATCTGTCCAGGTATTGATTGGCCCTCCTCGCTTTTGATACCACCCAATACCAAAATGGTTAAATTCAATGATATTATTGAATGATGAATTTAATGATAATGATACTGAATTAGTAATATATTAATACTATATTAATACTGAAATGCAAAAAAGTATCCTTGTCTGTTCCATCAAAAATCATTTAATCTTTTTTTTTATGTTTATCTATATAAATCATTCGCTGAAACAGACTAGCCAAATTTATGGCTCTGGTGGAAAGATTTACGAGCAGACAAAGATATTAAACTTTAACAGATATTTTTGATTTGATTGTCCCATATAAGTGCACATTGAACATATGCTATTTCCTTTAGAGGATAAAATTTAAATGAACCAACCGTCGTCTATCAGGCGAATATTTATTCATCCATTTCGCTTCAACCTCTTTTGTTCCCTCTGGAAAACTATCATTATTACTTTTACTATTATAACCCACACAATCGTACGCTTCTACTTTGATTTGAACCTTATCTTTCTCTTCCTCATCTTTATCCATTTCAGAATAAGTGTCCATAAACGGTACATCAATCTCATTAAATGGCCTGAAAATCCCTTTATTCTCCAATAAGAATTTTATTTTTGATTTTTTAAAAATAATTTCAATTTTTTGAAGTATTTTATTTTGATTTATTTTTTCAAATTATCTCCAATTTATAAGATGAAATTTAAAGATTCCATTTATGGATTAATAAAAAATTCATAGTGAAATGAATTCAAGATATAAAATCACAGCAAAAAAAAAGTTTAAACCATTGAGGCGATGGAGTTGTGGCATAAATCTCAAGCGAATCCCATTTCCGACTTATTTTTGCCACCAATTCTAAATCCAACATAGAACGAACGCTTTTTGCAGCTAGACTAGGTTTTTCATTAGGAAGTTCGTCGCGAATTTCTGAGAAACTTGGAATTCTTGGGTCATCGTAATCCGAGAATAATGATCTAAGATTAATACGAGAATGTTTAAAAATTTTAAAAAGTTAAATCCTCTCGATAATAATAATTTTAATTTTAATAATGAATAATTTTACTTTAGTTACGTCACATTGACTTTATTAAATCGAAAACAGTAATAAAACCCCTTGCAAAAAATATTTTATTATAATATTTATAATAATTTACCCGCATAAGCTGGCCGACGAATTGCCTGTTCTTAGCATTTTTCTATTCTCTTCGAATAGCTCCTAAAATTCGCGAATTATAAAAAAATTTCATTGTTTTCCCATTAAATGTTTCATTCGCAATTCTTCTATAATTTTCACGCTAAATTCGAGCCAAAACGAAAAAAATATAAATAAGAAAATTTTATATTTTCTGAAACTTCATCGAATACCATACCATAACACGGTTGTATCCCTATAATGCTTGTTAATATCGAATAGCCTAATGGTTGTCATTGAAAACCGCCAAATAAAAAGAATGATACCTCTTTGTCATCACTTGTAAGCTCTGGAGCCGACCAGTAATCCTTTCCTGCACCGAAAACTAAAGAATCTGATTTTACTAAATCCTCGCCAGTAGAATTTTCGGGCGCAGACCAACGAGAACTTTCGCTCGATTCTGAGTGCGAATCCTGTCGATTCTGAATGCGAATCTTATTAAATAGATAGTAGGTAAGAATAAAAGTATTAGTATTAGTATTGTAAAAGTATTAAAAAAGATTATTTAAATAAAGAAATTTTATTCCATTTTTCCATGGAAATTCAGTAATTTTGATAATTCAGTATCCATTATCTTGCATGCGTTACTTTTAAACCATTCGGCCAAGCAAAAAATTAATTCACAGAATCAAGTGAACAAAACGAAAAATACTACATCTTATAGGAGAGAAAAAAACCTTGAAAGCATAATTAAAATCGATCATTTCATTGCTCAGTTTACGAATATTTGCATTATTCTTCAGTTCCATATAATTTTTATCCGGAAGTGGCCAACACTTGAATTGATTCATCGAATATTCCTCTAGGATTTATTTTTCCAATAAGAATAAATAATAAAACCAATCCAGAAAAAAAATGAAAAAATGAAAAAAATTGATTTTGACAGAAAAACGCCAATTTTTGTCAGAAATAACTAATAAGAAAAACACAAATTTTTTATTTATTCTTCTTATTCCCGAATGGACTATTTGGACCAATTTAGATCGAAGTTCGACCACTATCAGTCGACATACCCTCACCATATAGCTTTCTGATATCCATATCCTTGTTACATTCAAAATTTTATTGAAATATTTTTTAAAAATTAAACGAAACCCCGAAAAAGTTTTTATATAATCCAACAACCCTTTAAGCAGAACCAAAATTCTGATCTAACCAGATCGTGAAGGCAAGATTTCATTGTTTAACAAATAATTCAACGATGCTGTTTGAAAAGAATGTACAGATCGTGATTTGATTAATCCACTTAAACATGGATATACGGCAAATTCAGCATCGCTATCGCTATCGCTTTCAACTTGTACTTCGTCCTTCTTTTCCTGGTTAGAAAAATTGGGAGCCGTTTTTTCTGTTTAGTTCATATAAAAAAGCTTTTAAAATGAAAATTTCAAAATTAAGTATTTTCCCAATGACCTGAATTAAATTTTTATATTGAAATATATGGAAAAAGTTTATTTTGTAATATAATATTTTTTTTAATTCTCACATCCGTGCAATCCATTTTTTTCGAAATCTATCAAATAAACCATTTCTATTCAATAAACCATTTCTATTCTTATTTTTTATTTAAAAAAATCATAACAATGGCCATTTGGTTATGCTAATAACAATAATATAAAATATGAATATAGTACAATATTAATGGAAAAAGGATAATCTATTCTATTGCAATTAAATAAGTACCAAAATATTTATACTGAATAATAATCTCACCTTACTTAATTGACACTAGACACTAATAATTTCAAAAACTGCATCAGTCAGAATCTCAGTGATTACTACCACGAAAAATTATAAATTATAAAAATGATATGACATCACTTTAGTCTTACCAATAAGATCTGTGTAATTTCAAAACATTACTTTTAGTATCATTCAAATTCAACGAAAGATGGTAGAATTTCATATTTACTAGAGAATGCAAACTAGAAGGATCAGATATTATAAGCTTAAATTAGGTTTTATATAATTCTTTCGATCCGGGTGATGCTCTCTCTACTTCCATCGCCAAGAGACTCCCTGGAAAAATCTGGTGTGACAGGCCAGAGATGCAAATCTAACCAATAATAGTGCTCTTTGAAAAAAAATTCTCTTAATCCATGATGAATTCAACCAAATTTAAGGGGGATAGAGAAACTCAGTGGGTTGTTGCTCGATTGGGAATGCTGATGCTGAGGTTGGAATAAATGCTGAGTTTCCCCTCAGGAGTAAACCTGTACAAAAAACCAATAATGGTGATGCTGGTGACTCACCTGTATTTCTATCGCCAAGGAACTCCCTGGCATATTGCTTAATGCGACAAGCCAGTGGAGCGAGTCTAACCAGTAATGGTGAGGACTCTTAAAAAAAAATTTAAACTGCGAAAAAATTTATTTGCAAGATATTATTTAATTTACCTCAGCGACTTATTAAACTAAATTTAAACGAGAAACACTCTAAGTGATGCCGACAGAACGCCTTATATATTTTAATCTTAATAACAAAGGCTGCTGAAAATCTTTAAAAATAATAATTGAATAAGCAAGAAAAATGTAAATTTTAATTAACATAATTTTAGACGAATTTTTGATTAATTTTATGGAGATTAAAAATAAGGCCATTATCAATTATTAAACCAAAATCTGAAATCAATATAGTTTATTTATTAGGAATTTATTTGATAAAAATGCTTTGTGCAATAATAATATCTATTTTACTAAAAAATGGTAAAAAGCGACAATATTCTTTGAAAAACTTATTTCAGACCAGTTTACTTCAATTTCAGATAAATAATTCATTTGAATAATTTAGAAAAATTTAATTTTTTTTTCCTGAAAGGCAAACAAATCTAAATACTTCATTTTTTGAGGATATTCTGTTTTCGAAATTACATTGGAATGAACCATTGATGCTCATGCTTTTCGGAATGTTATTTTCACATTTTGATCGCTCAAATTCGCATATCGCACATTTCATACATTTCTCATAGAATTTTTTATTTTCGCCATTCGTAGAATATAGATTGGTCCTGAAAGATAAAAGACGAAGGCCAATTTTTCTTGACAGCAATCCCTATATCCCACTTAAACTTAAATTAACTATAACCAATAAAACTACTAATCCAAGCACATATTTAAATAAATTTATTAGTGATTTATGAGAAAAATTCGTTTACATGGCGATTTAAATCAATATATCTATAAATAAATAAAATAAATGCTTATTGATCTATTTTCAAAATTAGTCCATGATAATCAGTCAAAGCCTATAATAGAGTAAGGATAGCTAAGTTGTATGGTTGCTTCGATTTGCTCCGATCATCGATTGCGACGCCGAGAGAAACATTCTTCTTATTAAAAAATTCCAGTGGCAATGGCGATCTATCCTGATTTCTTGATAAAAATTTATCTACAGCTAGTAATGATAGTCTAATCAGAAATGGTCGGCTCTAGCAAAAAAATCCATAGAAAATACAAAAAGTGAATTTTGTTAATTTTCGCACGAAAATTCTTAAATGGTACAGGACTTGAAATAAGAAAGCTGTTCAAACTGAATTTTAGTGCAGAAATTTTTTTAGTGCAGAAATTGATAAAAGTGGCACTTGAAATATTTATTTTTATCGCAGCACTAATAGAGGTAACAGAAAATATCGAAAGCGGAATAAAATTTTATGAAAATCAAATTTTCTCGACAGATGATGATGGTTTGGTCAGATTTAAAAAATAGAAGATTTATTAAAATCTATTGAAAATTCATCAATTTAATTCATTCAAATAAATTCATCAATATTGAAAATTCATTCAATTTATGAAAAAACTATTCACACTTTTTGTAGGAACATTGTCTAACTTTTATTAATTAATAACTGATTTTACTCGACAAAATTATTCGTAAGAAAACAATGAATCTATTAAGTGGATTCTAAAAGCTTATCGGAATCACCTAATTTATTCGAATGAATGCTTTCTTTTGAATCCTTTAGATTTTAATTTTCAGGCTCTGATGAGGTGCTAAAAAAATTTCGATGTTTCAATCTATTTATTCCCTTGGTGAATGCAATAAAAAAAAATTCTCACTGATTTTTATCGCAAACAAATCGGCAAATTTTTAAATGACGTAGTGGTGCAAAAACAACGCCACTAGCATTCTCTTCATCCGAGCACTGATTGCAATAGCGATGCATAATTTGAATCTAGAAAATATGAAAAATATGAAAAATTTTATTGATGCACTTAGAAACTTGTTAAAAGAAAGTTTAAGAGTCTGCAAACATTCTTAAGCAAGAAGCAATCCAGACTTAAATCGTAAGCTAAAGCTGCCAAAAATCTGAATGGGACCTGAAGAGATCGGACTATTAGTATTTTATCCTAGAGTGACTCTCTCTGGTAGAATCTCTGGTTTTATTCTAATAATTATCTCTGGTATTCTTCTAATAATTAAACCTGACTAGAATAAAAATCAGCATAAGCATAAGTTCAAAATTATTTAAAATCAGTAAATTCATACTGATATTTATTTTTTGATTTTTTTGTTAATTTCACACAAAAATAAATTCAACTATCTTCTTAAATAAGCTATGCACTTATTAACATCGCTGTAAAAAATATTAAATCAACAAATAAATTTGAAAAAATGCATAAAGTATTTATTAGACTGTACCCCAAGAGCAACTCGTTTGATTCACAGCCCTTGAAGGAGTAAGAATAAATTAAAAGTGAAGTCAAAGTGGACATGGAGACAACCACGTAACTTCAATCACAAGATACCTCTGTTCTTTCAGAAAAAAAGAGCGATTAATTAGCAAATCAATAAATAAATAAGAAATTTATTTAATAAGAAATTTTAATGATTTATAAGAGTAGAATAAATTCATAATTAAGCCTTTTCAACATGGGAAAAACGTAAATGGTCTTTCAAATTACTTGAGTTTCATGGATTTTTTGCTAAGTAATCAAGAAAAATTCTTCAATTAAAGGTGAAATAAAATAAAAACAAGCAAAGGTCTAATTCCTTTTATTAATTTCATTATCTTCCATTAGCATTTAGTGGTTCAGCTCTTCACCAACTATTAGATATAAAATGTTTGTTAGCGAATAACATGGAGATAAAGTACGGTAAGCTGGCTGATCACCATGCAGAATTGATTTCATTCATTCATTCATTGTATCTTTACTTGAGTTATTCTTTAAATTAATTAATTGTTTATCGTAGTATATTGAAAAACAGTAAATTAAACAGTAAAAGCAAAATAATTTAGTAATATTTTTTTAAAAGAATCAGGAAAAATCGGACAAAAATGCGATCGATTGATAATTCGAAAAATTTTCTGCAAAAAATACGAAAAAATGAATGAATGAAACGAATTTTAGAATTTCGACCTGTGCGCTGTTTGCTGTGCATTTCGATCGGCTAAATTGATTTGGCATTGCAGATTATCGATCTTGAAATTTGAGGAAAAAGTCGGAATAATATTTATATTTTGGCATGCAAGGACTGGACTTAAAGGTCGAAATATTGTGACAGAATAGCAAAAAAAGCTGTGAAAAAAATTCATTGAGTTTTCATTGATCATTGAGAGTTGAGAATTCATTGAGTTAAAAATTCATCAACAGAAAATAAATAAAAGTTTCATAAAAAAAAATAGAGAAACGTTATCAAGAAAAAAATTCGAGAAAAATAAGCATGAACCATAAATTAATGAGCGTTGCGTACGTGAACGTGAGGAGAAAGGAATTCTCATATTAGAATGGCTGGCTTATTCTTTGAATATTAACAACGCCTTTTTAAAATATTTTTATTTCTTATCACCAGCAAAAAATTGGAAAATAAATGGAATAAATATTGCTAAGGTTTGCTGAGTCCGAATTTGATTAATTTTAATTAATTTTCTTTGCGATTTAACCAGTGGATGAAGAAAATGTGTATTAAAGGAAACCTTGAAACTTTACATCTTAGCAGAGTTTTCACTCGTAGAATTTAGAAATAAAACAATTTCAAATTATTTTCTTCATTTTGCAGTTTTAATTCTCTAACAATTGCATTATCAGTTTAATTTTTGTTTTTTTAGTTATTCATATTTTGATTATAACAAACCATTCTAATGCCATTAAGAGGGAAATTTGAGAAGGAATTCTCAACTTGTCTCTCTCTCATCATCCTTCATTTAAACATGTTTCCTTTTTGCTTAATATGTAAAAACTATAGAAAATTTATTAAAGGTCGAGAATGGAAGAATATTTTTATATGTGAAAATGTAATAGGCAAAAAATAAATTGAGAAGGGGAATCGATGAATATACTTGTATTTTAGCTCGAATTAATCAATACGAGATTGCATGCCATGCTCACAATTCTTCTTCCATTTGTTATTCCTGGAACATAAACAAGAGATAATCAGGAATTCATCGCCTAAGAAACTGTTGATAATTAATTATAAAACTCAAGCGATCATATTTATAAGTTTCCTCAGATTCAATAATGGGCTGAAATATAACGGGTTTCATTTTTGATTCTTTTCTTGATC